GGAGCCTTGGAGACCATCAGTTCATCCGCTAGGTGAGAACTAAAGGTGTTAATCAAACCTATGGTGAACTTGCAATTTGTGTTTTGTTGTTTTTATACAGTGCACAAGAGAGAAAACACAAACCAACCATTTTTGTAATGATACTGATCAAAATTTCTCAATCCGCATGCTGTAATTTTGAGTTAATGCTGATATAGAGTCTAATCTGATATTTTTATGTACTTAAATATTACAGCTGCACAGCAGAATTGAAGCCCGATGTAGGATTATAGTATAATGATTAAAGTCAGTTTTATTACCTCAGCATTCAGAACATATTGGTTGCAGTTGTTTCTGTTTCGGCGGGCATCCTATGGAGTTTTCTGTGATATAATTTGGGAAAATGAGTGTCAATGTGAATCAATCCCTGAATGATATGCAAACATATATGTTGATGACGTTTTGTCAAACAGTGAGACTTTGGAGGCGGCCACGTCTGTGAAATGCTCGTGTTTTTTTCCTACACTGTAGATATTATTAACTGAAGCTGCGGCTGCTCTTTATTTGTTTGCATCACTCTGTGGTCATATTCAGAGCAAAATATAAAGTATGAGAGAAAAACTGTCTGCTTGATGGTTAACTCAATTTGATTGTTATTGTTAGAATTGTTCTAATAATAATTATTATTATTATTATGGTTATTATATAAGATATATGAAAAGTTAGTGTTTTCCGTTCTAGAGGTTATCATAATTGAAGCTAGAGGACGACTGTCCTTCGAAGCATTGCTGTATTTTAACATCGGTTCATCAATCGGAGTGACAGGAGGCTCCAGTCCAGTTTTAGTGATTGGTTGCTTCAATTTGGATTATGAGGACTTTATTATTAAATAACACTTATTTAGCCAGAGCAGACCCCCTACTAGAAACTGTAGGTTTTAGTAGATCTGCTTTGGGTAGATTCTAACTATATGTTGGATAGTAGTAAACATAACAGATTAAGTGATGATTTGGATCCATCCAACTGGATACATCTTCATAGTCTGCTCTTTACCTCTCCTACCAGGTTACGTTATCCCCAGTCATGTGACAGAGGAAATGCTGTGGGAATGTAAACAGCTGGGAGCTCATTCACCCTCAACACTGCTTACAACTCTAATGTTCTTCAACACAAAGTGAGTTGCACTATGGTCCCACGTGAAGCAATTTACTTCAGTCATCACATACAAATGATTTTTCTATACTGCTTAACTGACATGCAGCAGCATTGTCCATTATATCTGTACATAAGGGCAGAGCTCCATGTAGATCACAGATAATTCCCAACTTGCATATTAGCAAAATACAACCATACAAAAGACATTGCTGTAGTTATTCTGTATCACCCCTCTGCCCCATTTTATCAACTGTCAACACACGCTGATCAAATACTGCATTATCTTTTTTTTAGGTATTTCCACCTGAAAACAGTGGATCAGCATCTAAAAGTGGCCTTTTCTAAGGTGCTTAGACACACCAGGAAAAGTCCCAACAACCCCAAAGACAAGAGCACCAGCATCCGATATCTAAAGTCAACAGAGAGGTTCATAGGTCAGAAAGGTAAGAGCGCACATGGATTTGATTTGTGCTGTGATGTCTGGGAGGAATCCACATTTTTAAGGATAATGAACCATTTTCTTTCTTTGTTCAGTGACAGATGACATGTACTCAGAGCAGCTGGAGGACCCAGAGAACCCACTGCGATGCCCCATCAAACTCTACGATTTCTACCTCTTCAAATGGTAAATATAAAACATAATTTAAGGATGACAAAAGGATTTCAGTGAAAAGGAAAATGTTTTTATGAGGAAACATGTTTTCTGAGGTATAACCTGTTTCTGTGCCTTTGCCTATGTAACGAATGATGAATCCAACCTTTGAAAATTTATGAAACAGTATCATTGATAAGAAAAAAAACAGGTAAAAATGCCTCTTGCTGCTACCATGTAGAGTCTTTCACTCTGGCCAGGTGTAGGCATGACGAGAGTCGAGCTTCTCTTTTGAATGTGCTGCTGCTGCTACATTCAAATAAAACTCTGTGTTGTGTTATTGACATGCAAGGTGGAGTACACATTGCACTCTGTGTTCAAGTGCTTAAACTTGTGAGAACACTGTTGCTAGGCAACTGACAAATGGATGCTGTATAATAACTTTTTTTTTTTTGTTCTCTTCTCAAAAACGGTGAAAGATTTTTAATGTTTTCTGCCTCTTAACAGCATGCCAAGGAATAACGGCAACTAGCTTTTCTGGCCTTGGCTGCCTTTTAAAAATGTCAGCATTCTTCACTGAAAATGGAAAAAATTGCTACTTAAAAAAAAAAAAAAGAAATTACCACAGAGTGGGTTGTTCATGTGAACCAAGTAATCACAGCCACATTCAAAGGATTTTTTTAACACCTTGGATCCGATCAGTCGTTTCATGTGTAACATTTTACACAAGGACCTAAAGGTTGAGCTCTCTGGACATGGAAGCATAAGGGAATATGCAGTCTGTGGCCACTTTATTTGGTACACCTGTACAATCTCATGTAATTCAATGCAACAGCTCCATAAATTCTCTTTGGAAGCCAAAAAAGTTCAAGTTTTTTTGACATTGTCAAAATGTGTAAATGGGAGAATGTGTTTATCACTAAAGTCATAGTTAAAGGCAGTGTCGTACTCGACTTCATTATATTGAGTTGTGTTTCTAATGTTTTTTGTCCTTTACATTTACATACAGAATGTTAGAAACACCTTCAATACAATACCACCACTAACTATGACATCAATGCTTAAACATATTATTGAATTAACACAAAAACTGGACATTGTAGGCATCTTAAAAGATGTACAGTTGAGATGCACGTGTACCTTATAATGTGGACAGTGTATGTCAATAGGATGAGGAGATGATGGCCAACATTACAAAAATAAGACCCACATTGTAAAAACTGGATTTTTCCCGTGACAGTATCTTGCTGTCGCTCCAGCATTTCATAGACATCAGATAGAAATTTTATTTGAAGGCACACCTTCCTACTTCATTATCTCAAAAAATATTTCATAATTTTTTTTTTAATGCACAGACAAGCTGAAACTGTAACCTTGACATCTGATTAATAAACATATCCTGAAAGTGTCCTCACACTGTGTTCTCTCTGCTCCTGTGTCAGTCCACAGAGTGCTAAAGGTCGCAACGACACCTTCTACCTGACACCTGAGCCCGTGGTGGCTCCCAACAGCCCCATCTGGTACTCCACTCAGCCAATCCCAAAAGAACAGCTGGAGCAGATGCTTGCCCGCATCCTCGTCGTCCGTGAAATCCAGGAAGCCATTAACATGTCGGAGAGCGTGCACTAGTTTGACTGGGAGGAGAGCAATTAATGGACTAGACTCTCCCTCTTTCTTTTCACCCAGCCTTTGATTGCTCATTATCAGTAGTTTTCTATTCTCTCACACCCTCTTGTGGTCTGTTAGGGTGGCATGTATATGTTTATATTCATTATGTGTCAGCATATCTTGCGCACACGGACTGTACATACACATACAAACAATACAGATAATAAGTTGTCTTACTGAGGCAATTGCTCAAGTTCTTTTTTTCATTTTTGTTTTGGCCAAAGGATGTAGTGTCTAATCTTTTTATTGGACCTGAACTCTAATTTAAGTGTTATTTTAACTGTTGGTTCTCCTTACCAATAGTCTGGAACAGTTCATTTTCTCTCCTCATTTGTTTTAATCTGTAATATACTTCATATATATTTTCGCTGGGGTTGGCCTGCGCTGTGCTGCTTTTCTTAGACATCCCTCTTTGTTGCTCTACCTTCCCTCATCTGCCTTGTTCACTGTTAAGTCTCACAGTGAGTACCTCAGTGGTATTAAGACTGCATTACGTAGCCAAACATAGGCTAAAAGCGCATTTTCAACTTGTGTGAATTCTCCCTCTTTCTTTGTATTTCTCGCCTGTCTTGAGCTGAGTTCACATGCGGACAAACCGAACTCTGGAGATGACTCGCTTGTTAGTGAATGCTGCTTTGGGCTGTGACGCCCCCTGTTGGACTAGCTCAGCAGCACTAAAATCGCACCAGGACTTTCCTCCGTTACGGACTTTTATTGCAATACAGTGTCACCACTCGACCTGCAGCTACTAGCACTTGCCACGTGGTGGAGACGTGGCAGAGGGAGCGTGAAGGATGCTGACTGCTGCTGGATCCTCCTTTTCTCTCCTCAATACATCACCAACCCCCAAAACTCCACCCGAAGAGGGATCTATTGTATCATACATGTTTATTACATGACAGATGAAAGACTCTAAGAAGTGGGATAGCCCTTAATGTTCTATAATGTATTATACTCATAGCTCCTTCATGTACTGTAATGGGTTTCAGTCATCTAAGGAGAATGGCAGTGCCTGTGTGTTTTTGAAACATGACCTTTTTTGTACAGCCACTATACCATGTGTCTGCCTTTCTAGCAAGTCCAGTATCAATTCTGCACATGCATCCTTAAGTACTGATAGCCTGCATTGTGTGATATAAAGTGATGCACAATGATTTTTTCTAAATAAAAGTCATCTCACACCGTCACTTTATCAATAATGGAGGCAAACAAACTCACAATAAAAACACTGAAGTGCCCAAACATCTTTGGTAGCTGCACACAGTAGACCTGATCTTTGTGCCCGTGTGCACCATTAGCATTCACAGGTATCAGCCTCACATTATTCTTGTGAATCCTGTGGTAAGTAATTCACAGTAGAGGGACAGGTTTGTCCTGAATGGCAGGCGATTTCCTTCATTTTTGCTCCTGGTAGCAGTATGAACAGCTGCGTCTGCAGTTTCTTCACCAGCATTTAGCTGCATGTTGCCAGACCAGTTTTCCGCCTGCAGGAGCCTGTCACACAGCATTATTTCTGCCTTCTATCCTTGCATGTCACGTTCTGTATGATGTTATTTCAAATGTTTTTTTTTGTTTGTTTTTTTTTTTACCCAGTGTCTTGCTTGTGTCTCTCTATTATCACTTAGAGTAAGTGAGTTCAGGAGGAGTGTGAGCCTGGATTAAATGGAGATGAGGAGGGCAGTAACCTCCTCAGTAGGTTCCCTGGGTGTAAAATCTGCTGTATTGTGTTCTGCGGTGGGTCTGGTGGAGGTTTCTGTCTGTGACGGTGACGTCTCCTCCTCCCTGTTCGGTCTCCCCCGGAGCCATGAGGTCGATCCTGAACGTGGTGGTTAATATTCGAACTGGCTCCCTGAATCTGTGGGCTGCTGGGAAAGAGAGGACACCTAATTAGAACGGCATCATACGTTACAGTGACTAACAATACGCTGCCTGTGCTGAAATTCAATATGGTGTGTGTCGGTGCTCAGTGGGAGCTTATTTCTGCACTCTCACCATGCTGAGGTTCCTCCTGTTCCTCCACTGAGCCATTGTAGCAGACACTGATGTACAAATATGTACTGCTCCTGAGTACACACAAAGGAATGAGCATGTAATGAGGCTGCTTCATTTAATGGCGTTTGGGATGAACCAGTAGAGCACAGTGTTTATGAGCATGGAGATGATAGGTTTATGAGTTTCCTAGAAAGCAATGGAATACACGTGTGAGTGAATTACAGCTATTCATTTTAACACATGTATTATTACAGTCTAAACTGGAGTATGGGTCCTCTAACAGAATATTACATGGGTGTGATGATAAATAAGCAAAGTTATGACTATGAGAGGTGTGATTCAGAGGTGCTGCACATGTACTTAAATATGTCTCAACAAATTTCACTTATGTCTGATAACCCTGTGCAGGTGAGTGGTAGTGGAAAGTTACTAAATACATTTACTCAAGTACAGTACTTAAGTGCAATTTTGAGGTACTACGCTATAGTTAGTTACTGTTCAGATTAAGTTTAAGTAACATTTATCATATATTATTAGTTTTTGAAATATGAAGCATTTTTATACTCTAGATAAAAACTAAAAAGAAATAATAATAAAAATGATAATAAAAGAAAAAAAATTCTGTTTACACACAAATGCATCAGCAATAATACTCCAAAATAAAAAGGTTGCATAACAAATGCTTTGAATACCTTACTTTTACTTGATTTTAAGTTCTATAAGTATTTAACTTTTGATGCTTAAAGTACATTTTACTGCTAATTTGTTTGTAATTTTAATTAATTACATTTTTGAAGATTGGACTTTTAGTGGTAATGTGTTGTTTATTATTTGGTTATTTCTACTTTTACTAAAAGTAAAAGGCTTCACTACTTCTTTCACTACTGGAGGTGAGTGTCAGTACTGGACTGACCAGATTCTGGACCATCCACATTCGATGTAGCCGTAGATCTTCCACAGCAGCGCGGATATCAGGCTTGATGCCCCTGGCACACAGCTGCATCAGCCACAACAATGTAACAAAAGTCCCTGACCTCCCAACACCTGCACTGAAACACATAAACAGAGGGTTGACTTTAAAAAGTCTCATGCACCATCTGACTGATAAACTTCTGAAAACTCTGCAGGATTATAAGTAAGTAATGGGTTTCCTGAAGGGGTGTTTGTGATGGGCTTAAAGTCAGTGGTCGGACCTGCAGTGCACCACAGCTGGCCCCAGGCGAGGAATGGCTTCTAAATGCTGCCGGACATGGTCAGTAAAAGCACACAGGGAGGATGGGTCTTTAGGGATGCCCCGGTCCGGCCAGGAGGGGTAGTAGTAGTGTGTGATTATCCTGTCTGTTGGACAGTATCTCTGAAAAACAAACACTTTACTTCAATCCAACCGAAAGACTTCTTTGTCAGTGCACACAGAAGTCCACAGCAGCAGTTTACAGGCGCCAAAGGGGATGATGAATGTGTCTTCTGCTCACCTGTCTGAGGTTAATGGTGGTGATAAAATAATCTGGACCTTGTGTGCGGGTCACTGTTGTCACTTGGATCAGTCCATGATGAACTGTCCGTCGTTCCAGAGGCCAATACCTATCACACAGCACCTGAACACGTAGAAATGGGGGGCAAAGTCAAAATTTTAAAGAAATTGTGAGGAATTTTCTGAAATTATTATTTTGGAGAGTTCACAAAAGATTGATACCACATGTCTGTACCACTAGCAGGTTGTTAAGCTGAGTTTAGCACAAAGACCGGAAACATGTCGCTGTCGATTATACATTTCAGATTTAGTGCAAATTAAATAAATGATTTCATGTGTTAACCACTGAGCTTTAGAGTTGTTGGTAGGTAGACATTGTTACCTTTGGACATTGACAGGAAACAAGTCCTTCAAACTGAACAGCAAAATATGGTGTTGGTCATTGCCCCCCCCAGAACAAGACATGTAAGTGTTTTCTGATAAAGACGCCTTTATTGACAGGATGATATCGTTTACTACTTCTCTAAGGTTAGGAGACCTTTGTTGTCAGGAAAGTGAAAAACACCTTCTCATCTAACCCTTGGTGAGAAAGTGAATTCCACTAAAAAAGGAAATTATTTCTTCAGATAGGTTACAGGCACACCCATCAAAACACATTCCCACAGACTGAATATGTCTTTCTTACTATGTCCTTGTCTCTCAGAGCTGTCACCATGACGATTACCCTGACATTTTGCTCCCACACCATCCTCCAAAAGTCAGCCATGGTGTTGTGCAAAGGACCCTGGGTGCAGATGAAGTCTCTCTCTGATCCTCCACCCTGAATACAGACGCACAGTCATTGACAGATGCAGAGACGGATGGACAGCTTGTAAAGCAGGAAAACAGTGACAGAGTAATGATGTAATGAAAATGAAGGACAAAATAAAATTCAGTGGAAGAAGTGAATGAGCTCTTACAGGCACAAAATTTGCGTTGATGTAGTCAGTGTGTGGGTGGGAGTTTTGAATGGACAGCCTCACACGACAGTGGTCATCTACGATGGTCGGGAAATAGAAATGTGAGACAAATAAGAGTCTCACACATAGCTACACATACAAGAGAAGCTGTAACCTGTTCTAATATATGTTTTGCACTTACATGGTAAAATGTAGGGGTATCTGTTCTTTTCTCTGTTGGCCTCTGAGTCCCCCGCTCTGGTGGGGAGGTCTTTGCCAACTTCATTCAGCGACTTCACAGAACCAAAGACATTAGCACTCGTGACAGACATTTCTAGCCTCACGAATCATAAATCTAATGCCAATGTCAATTTATAAACTTACTAGTTACCTCAAACTCCTGTTTAAAGCCTCTGTTGTCATTGGCAGCAAGGGCCTGGCATCGAAAACCAAACTCCTGCAGAATCTGCACTCTTGAGAAAGTTTGCACCCTGTAAAAATTGCACAATTGTATTACGTTAAATCATCTTTAAATCAGACAATATTGATAAGTGTGGTGGTGATCCTTATTTATCTTCAAGCAAATACATAAATAAATCATAATAATTATTCACAGTGTAGCCTGTATAGCTTGATTTAGCTTGTCCCTCTGTGCTAAAGTGTTGCCTGTTGTTGTACAAACACTATTAAAAACACAAAAAAAACTACAATGAACATGGGCACTGTAGTTCATTTTGAATCGAACCAACATACACTGACGAGCTGCTGTAAATACTAACAAGCGCACCAAATTTGCAGCTGAAAATTTTCCCCAATAAATTTGCTATTTACTGATGTCTGAGCAACATTGTCTACCCTCCACCACAGCCACCTGTTCTGAGCCTTTAAAAAAAAAAAGAAGAAAAAAAGTATATATTTGTTACCTGTTTTATAGATTTACATCCTCAGTAATGTGCTTAGAACTGAGTGCCACAGACAGGGTATGCAAGTTGGAAAATATTGAGAGACTAACAGTTTTGGTCTTCACTAGATTTTGTTGATGACGATGAAAATATACAAATATCTCCAGAGTTATCATTTAAGCATATTCAGGATGCTACAAGGAACTTTGTCATCCTTACCTCATGACTTTTCCTGCGGACCTCAAACCTCAACAGAAATTCAGCAGGGGCTCGGGATGACTTCAGTGTTGATGCTGTCAGAAAAGATTACAAAGTCCTGCCTCATAAAGAAACTTTAATTAACTTAAATCAAATAAAATCAGTGGCAAAGTGATAAAGCGGTAAAACGGTAACTGAAATGTTGAGAACATCTGTGTCTACCTCTTGTTTTCCCCTCCCCCTAGTACTTAGATAGGAATTTTACCTTTTAAACAGAGGCATTTGACACCACACACATTCTTGAGACACTCAATTGTGCAGATGAGAACAGCTATAATACACCTGTAATTAAATTAGGTTCCGGCAGTTTGACTCTATCAATCCAAGGAAAGTATAAATTCCAATTCTTATCATACCTCTCCTCCCATGGTCTCATTATCATAGAAAAGCATACATAAGCACAGCCCATCATTCACACAGGACAGTCAGTGACACTGACCCGACAAGAAAGAAAACCTGTTCCAACAAGTTCTCAACCCCAAACACAAATAACAAAGAAAACAGACAGTCCCACACGGTCAGTGTCATATTTTTGTTTCAGGATTACCTTCACAAACCGGCCTCAGATGAATGGTTTAAGTCTGCCACAGACTGAAGGGAAAGAATAGGGTGGTAGGAGAGGACTGCACTGCTCCAAGTCATCTTTTTAATATCTCTCTCTCTCTCTCTCTCTCTCTCTCTCTCTCTGTCTCTCCATGCAGGAAGAAATGTGATGGGTGGAGACAGTGGGCGGAGACAGGAACATTAAACTCCAGGGAGGGATGTCAGTATATGATGGCTGCAGCTATTCTTTGTACTCACCGTGTCGCTCCTTGCACTAGAAAAACAAAATGATTTTATTTGTAAGAAATGTCCTTCATTTCTTAGTACAGATTTATTTTTCCATTGTGGTCGTGTGAGCCTGGAGCTCATGATTATCTAGTCTCACTTAAAGTTAACAATGGGCAAGTGTGTTCTTGTTTTTTAAAAAGACTAATTAAAGTGTAATCATTTTAATATGTACTGAATATACTCCACACTATGAGAGTGATTTAGTGTAATATAGGATGTGTTCGAAGTCCATGTGGGCTGGGCACTTGAACTGTACATGGATTACAAACATACAGTGATAAACTGTACTTGAAAAAAAAAGAAGCTTGTTATATTTCTATTTTAAGGATTTGTGAGCACACATATCTTGATCCAACAACGAAAGTATATATACATTTTCATATTTGACTAATATTTGTACAAAACTACATTGTAGAACATGGACGTACAGTTTATTGCAACACAGAGGCAGAAGTTTACAAACTGGTGTCTAGGGACCATCATAGGTCCTCGAGGCCTGGAAGAAACTGAATAATAATACTGATAATAATTTCGCCACGATTTAATTCGGAAGGGACTGTATTCTGATAGACTGTTTGAGGTTGATTATTTTTAGAAACAGGAACTACTCTTATGTTGAAAGTGTGTAGTGTAGGATTACATTAGAGAGACTCAGTTACCACAAAGTCTAAATCATATTTTCATTGGTCAAATACTTTCCAATTCTCAGAAAGCATCGCCATTATGTTTTATGCAACAGCATCATTTTTATTTTATACTTATATTTTGGTCTGTACAGTTTGAAAATCTTCAGATCTCACCCAGCTCCTCTCCCAACTTTTGTTGAAGTGCGCCATCGTTTGGTAAAACTACAGTGAGTCAGTAATGCAGCCTGACTATAAAACAAAGGTGTAAGCAGGTATGATGGACTGCGCCTGCGTGTTTTTGGGAGAAAAGTTTTGATAAGTCTTTATGACCACGGTCTGAACCTGATTGGGCGGCTGCAGAAAAGGGAAGTAAAAACATGTTGCGTTTTCCCCCTGCGCTTCAACTCTTCAACACAACGTGAGATTTGTAACTACAAGGTCAACGTTTTAAAACTGTGGGCACAGTGTAGGTTGTGAGGTAATAAACACGGGGACAGAAATGCAAAGTTTCACTTTCCATATGTATTTAATTTAAGCGGTCATACGCACTTCCTGGTCTGTTGGAGTCGAGAGAAATAAAGTCAGCGTGTCATTCATAGACAACAAACAACGCTGCAAACAGGAAGACATGGATCATGCGCGACCGCAGGACACACCGCAAAGCAAGGTAAAATCATTATAGTGCACCTGAAGAGTAAGAAGTGACAGCCTCTACAAACGCTTCATGTGCGAGGAGCATGTGAACCTGCTTCCTCCAGCTGCTGACTAATAGACCTAGTAATCTTTTTTATGTATGTATGTATATATATATGTATATTTATATATATATAAAGAGAGAAAGAGAGAGAGAGAGAGAGAGAGAGAGAGCGAGAGAGCTGAATCACTGAGAAAAGACCTGGACAGGATACCAACAACAATTGCACTGATTTCATGTAAATGTTAAGCTTCAAATAACGGAATATTAACGTAAATCCACGTTGGATTGTAAACACACGAGGGCACTAATGAGTATCACACACTAAAATAAAAGTACTGGTTGGTGGTGCTCCATACTTTTGAACACTTTTGAGACTGAGTTGTAATAACACATTTTATTTCATACACAGTTTCACACACAAGACACTGCATATTCAAAAGTATGTTGTTGGCTATTTTTAGAAACGTGTATCACTCTATGTTATCTATGAAGTGTCTTGTGTTCGAATATATTATGCTGCTGATATGAAAATAGATGTAGATTAGACTTCCTGGGTTTCCAATCTTTGATCTAACATTATATTTAAGGCTTGAATGTACAGTTTGACAGCTGCTATTTATTAGCACTAAAATCATCAAGAAATCTGAATCATCAGCGTTTCAGCATTATTTGTGTCATATCTATGTCTTTTTTTTTTTGATTAATCGATTATTCTTTATTCTGTACAGCGCCAGAAAATAGTGAAAAATGCCCGTCAGAACTTAACATAACCTAAGCTGACATCTTCAGATTGCTTTTATCTATTCAACAGTTAAAAAGCAAAAAGATATTCAGGTCTTTATTATATAAGACAAAGCCACAAATTCTCACCTCTGAAAAGCTGGAACTAGGGAATGTTTTGCATTTATGCTTTAGGAAATGACCAACAGACTTAATCAAACGTTAGAATAGATGCCGATCATTTTTCTAGTTAAATCAATTTTTTATTTCCGTTCTAATAATAATCAATCAATAATCATCTGCCACCTGTACTGTGACACTATATTAACTGTGATTAACATGGTGCTATTTCTCTCTCCAGGGCTCCATGTTGCGACACAGGGAATGCAGTGATGAGTCTGTTGACAAGAGGCCCACTGACAGCTCATTGGCTCCCCCTCAGGTACATCCTGTTCTCAAATGTCGCACCTCAAAATGACCTTTTTAAATTGTACAATTGATCTGCTGTCTTTGTAAAGTACCACAGGGCCATAAATTGTTTTAACCAATGTCTATTCAGGACGAGAAGAGGCCGATCAGAAGAGTGCGAAGCCCTTCCAGACCGAGGGCGTGGCAGTCCAGTTCTTACAAACCAAAGTTTGGAGGGCGATTCTACAGACCTCGGTGAGGCAGACGGGTCGAAAACAAGGAGCGCTTTCTAGTTTGTTTTCCACATAACAGCAACACTCAACTTTTTTACTGAGTCACCTGCAAAGTATTGATGATAACACTGAGGCTGACCTGTGGCTGCTCTGAAAGATTCTCCTCTCTGTTGATGATGCAGTTTTCCAAGGGATGACCATCCATTCCACAAACCTGGCTTTGGCAACCAGAGGTACCACCACTTCAACCCCCGGGCTTATTTAGACCGGAGAGATCACTTCCATCCTAAATTTCCCCGCATCGCACTGAAGGAGAGGGAACGGGAGAAGGAGAAGGAGAAGGAGAAGGAGCGGTACGAGCGGAGAGAGGGCGCTGATGGAAATTCACCCCCAAAACAAAACAACCGTAAGTTTAATGTCTGCAGCAAAAGTCTGTGAAAACAATGACTATACACACACACTTCATCTCATTTGAACAGTTTCATAGTAAATTAGGCGCTTTGAGACGTTGACAAAATGTCCACTATATGTCAAAAAGTACTTTTGTAGCCATTTTCCGCTGCATGATACCATCTTAACTCGCCAATTTTGGTTTTCCATCAAGCAAAAGTTGTGGACAGTGCCTGGTACCTGGTACTTTTTATGGTATCACCTCTGCAGATGTTCCAAGTGAGCTGAGGCGATATCAAAAGGTGCAGAGTGCAGACTACTGATTGGTCAGAGAGAATCATCACAACTGTGTGATCATTGTGCGCAATGGTATGCTCTGAACAAACCTGCCATCTTTGAACAGACAAGCGACTCTACACTGCTCATGCTCACTGTAGCCTGTTACATTTCTGTTAGTTATTGTACTATTCTTTTAGTACAATAACCTGCAAAACCACACTGTAGTCAATGGAGGAGGTGCAGACGTTCCATATCCTCCATTGTTCATGTGTGTGTCGTGTTGAAGATGATGGCGGGGTAGCTTTGTCATTGCTATGGTAACACTGCAGCATTGAGGGGGGGGGCTATCTGCAGTGGAAAAAGAAGTACCTGGTACCAGTAGAGTTGAGGAGAGTCGAGTTGAGTTGAGTCGGTACCATGCGGTGGAAAAACACTAGTGCTCTGTGGCAGTTCTTTGGACCATGCTCCTTAGTTCCAATTAATAAAAAATCTTTAGCCTACAGTGATATTTTAGACAAGAGTGTGTTTCCAACTTTGTGCCAATGTTTCGAGGAAAACCCCTTCCTGTTTCAGCTCGCCCCTGAGCACAAATAATGAAGTGGTTGTCCGTGTTTGGTGTAGAAGAATGTGATTAGCCTGCACTGAGCCCCCAGTCAACACCTTTGCCTGTTGATGACCTCTGCCATTCTTTGTGCTCACTGTGTACACACACCCCGTCACAACTGGATCGTATCACCTGTTGACCGACCATGTCGGAAATTCAAAGTGTTTATACTTGATCAAACAGCAGAGTGAAAAACTGCAGAAGATATTTGAGTAATTGTTAGCTGGCATTTTTTTCTTGGTGTTATTTACATTTTTTTAATTAACTTATACTGCAGGAATTGATTACCATAATTGCAGGACGCCATGGCAACATTATTCCATACTATCTGCCTGTTACAAACATACAAACATAATCTTTTAACAGCAACAGAACACAGAGCTTTATTTAATTTGTCTTGTAATTTTTTACACAGACTGCAGACAAAGTTTGCACAGTAAGTGATGAAGAGACAGGGGTTTACTCCAGGGGATGCCATAGGTACACATTTGTTGACGTGGCTATAGGTACATGAACAAGGCACTGTTAGACAAACTGAAAGTCCTTGTTTTTGCCGTTATGTAACCAATAAGCAGGTTAATGTTTCTAAATATGGGTGAGTCCAAATGTCACCTTTGGTCCCAGTGACCTATCGTCAAACAAAAGGTCAAAACAAAAGAGTGATGAAAGACCAGAGAGCAGAATATCTGTAAAGGTGCTTGGTGCTGTTCTTTTCTCCAAGCCTAGCCAAGGTATAGCTGACTCTTATCAAACCATTGTAGCAAAGGCCTGAGCATAAAGGAAAGAAAACACATTTCAAAGTAATTTGCTGTAATTTTATCCTTTTCTTTATTCTTCTGTGCTGGATGTGGCGGCACAGACAACAATGTTAAAACTGTTACAAGCCAACAATTTCTCCATGTCTGGCCAAACTATAATAGCACTGTGAAAATACTTTATTATTTTGCATTACCTTTGGTACAGGACTATCAGAAGTAGCATATTTCACATTCAAAAAAATACAAGCTCTGAAAGCAGCTTGAGTCACACATCAAAGAGAAACCGTACAACAGTCTTACCTGCACACAGAAATGTAAAGTAAAAATGATTCAAATGATTTAGCTTATTTGTGGCTGAGTGGGAGCAAATTCCTGCAGCCAGGTTCCAAAATGGAAAATGGTTTTGGAATGAGATGTTCAGCCATCAGATATGGGTGTAACGTTTGGGTGTCAACATACTTTTGGGCATATAGACTGTGAGTTGCAAGGAGTTTATTTTCAGTGTTTCAATATGCAACACTGCATACATGCTGAATGTGTGAATCACAAGAACACGCCCGTGCTGTCTCACATACATAAACAGTGATTAGACACAATAAAAGAGGCGCGTGTACACTATAGTACAGTTCAGTACAACGCCATCACAAACCACGGCCTGAAAAAACACATATCGCTCTTACGCGTCCCTACAACAGTGGTTAATTGTAAACCTTACAAACTGTGGATGTTACTGTCTCCACCTCCTGTATATATTAACATATTTAGACATACATATACAGTACATTTACATAATGTACTCTACAAGCTTAACAATATCTTCTTGCACTTTATTAAATAACCACTGGGTAGCGGTATAAGCAAGCAGAGGACCTCGCACACATTTTTTCAGGAGCACTTTGCATTACAAATATTTGGAGGGCATTTGCTCATTGTGGTATCTGTTGGTTGGTAGGTATTCGCACTCTGGTAGCAACAAACCAATGTTACATAATGCTGATCACTAAGAAGCTTTTCCTGGACTCAATACGTGGATTATGTCACCAGTGAACTGATAGTAGTCGAGCTATTATACAGTGTATGCCTCAATTTGTCTCATGTCAACTGTGGGATTTAGTCAGCTACAGGTAGATTTATTATACACCTGAGAATGACCTCATCAGTTGCAAGGTGGAAGAGTGTAGAAGTGAACAGGAGGGGTTTCAAATCTGATTACGTTTCCTTGGTTTTAACCCTAATCCTAGAGTCCGTGTTTCAGACTTTTGTTGATCTTTCGCTGGTATGAAGCGGTGTATGGTATATGTTGTTTTTTGACAACTGAGCTGTATGTTTTTATCTTCTCTTGCACTCAGGCACTGTATCTGTGCGCACACTGCAGCACTGTGGAGGTGTGTGTTTGTGTATGTGTGAGTGTGGAACAGGTTTTTTTTTTTTGTGTGTGTGTGTGTGTGTGCCTGAGTGATGGTGCGATGATGGTGACTCATCGCTGATTTGTGTGTATATGAGAGTGAGAGAGAGAGGGAGAGAGACCAGCCAGCAGTATATAATGAGCCATAACAAAGCCATTGCTTCACATAGGAATACTGCAGTCCAACATTGGAAAGGCAGATTTCCCAAATGTCAGCAGATTCTGCTTAAAGTATATTGATTTTAAATCCTGATACTTAAAAATAAAAAAAAATAAAAAAAGTCTTTCTAGTGGGATGCTGAAGAGAAAGAGAGAATGTTTAGGAGGCTTTAAACAGAAACGGTGACCTAAAGATACCCCTATAGATGCTGTAGATACTTAGAGAAAAAAAGACCGTTATAACATGTATCAATCATTTTTAGAGTACACATACAGTCTCTTGTGCTGTTGTGTTGACCTTGTGGTTTGTCTGTTTTCCAGCTACTAGACCTTTCTTACCCAGGTCCACCTCCAGCAGAGACAAGGACATGCAGTTCACCGTAAGTTCACAAGCCGAACACCTGTTCTGCTTTTCCATTTTGTTAAGAAATGTGGAAAAATATAGTGCTCCATCCATTCCTTTAAAATGACATAATACTGTGCTTTCCTCCAAACTATCAGCGTGGTGTAGGCAGCACCGTCTGAATGTGGAGAGAACATGAAATGAAAAACATTCAAAGACGACAGTGATTGGAATGAAATGCTAGTCTTTGTGTGTGAGTGTGAATCAGAGCTGCAACTATTAGTCAGCTAATCAAAAGGCAATTAATCAGCAGCTATTTTGAAATCGATTAATCATTTCAGCCATTCACCAAGCAAAAATTTAGATAGTTCTGGGTTTGCAAATGTGAGATCCACTGCTTACTTTATAATTTACTTTATAATTTACTTCATAAAGTTGAATTTTTGAGAGTTTTGGGCTGTTGGTCAGACAAAACAAGACATTTCTGGACCTCACCTTGTGATGTAGAATATTGTGATGGGTACTTTTCAGTTTTCTGATGTTTTATAGCCCAAATGATTAATTAAGAAAATAATTAACTGATAATGACAGTAATCGTTATGTAGCGGCATTTTCTGTCACGTGCAGTACAACATAACATTGTAGAAATAAGGGCTTCAACCAACAGTTATTTTCCTTGTCAGTTAAGCTGCTGATCGTTTTCTTGTCTGTTTAATGCCAAGAAATACTGAAAAAGCCCTAATCCAATTTTTCTCAAGCTGAAAGTGACATTTTGAAATGTTTTGTTTTGCTCAACCAACAGTCCAAAGCCCTAAGATATTCAGTTTACAACTACAGAAACTGGAACAGCAGGATGTTTGGTGGAATTGCTTGAAAATGTATTTAATAAATGATCAAAATAATTCCCCATTATTTTTCTGTTGCTTAACAATGCGCGCATTAATTACTCCAGAGTAATATTTATATATCCATGTATATGGTGTTTTTGTGTGTTTATCACATTAATTCAGAGCAGAGATTGACTTAACTGCCCAAGTGCTGCAAAAAAAGGCTGAAATCAAATGATCACATACCTTGGCTGACCTAAACACAGCGAGGAGCAGAGCAGCACATGATGAATCACTGCTGGTCACTGCTGCAGTGAAGTCAAAGTGAGGAGACGAGGAGAAATCTAAGAACTGCTGGCTGTTTTTCCACAATCAATATTTTAACCAGCGCTGTGTTAGTAGCCGTTGATTTTATGCGCTGCCTAAAGGTGCAGATCTGTGATTAACAGGTGTTTTATTACAAGGACGAATTAAAGGTAGAGTAAGCAGTGCTGGAGAAAGACTGTTGATATTTGGACTCAAAAGGAAAAGAAATATACTCCTTCCCTCGGAAGCTCCGCCACCCAAATTCATGGACATACTTGACTTGTGTTTTTAGGTCTTTGTGGCTATAAAACCTTTTGCATGTTGTACGGATAAATAACATGATGCAGAGCAAACATCGAGACAGTAAACCGTTGCTACAGATGCCTCTGCAAAGCTAACATGCAGAGAGGATGAGATGGTTTCCCATAGCCAGCAGACGGCGATACTCACAGCTCTCCTGCTACTATAGCTAACATCACACCAACAGCATATATTGGTTATAGCAATTTCACGACGTCGAACACACAAATGTGACACCAGTACCTGCTTGATAACTAACCAATGGCAAACCTAATGTTACCCACCTGTCAAGCAGAAACAGAGCAAACTCCACATCCGTCTTCATGCCTTTCAACTTCTCCCTAGTAGAGAGAATAGTTAGACTGGCCATCACGACTACTGGGACAAATACCAACTGGCTGCTGCAGCAGTGGGTCGGTGTCAAGTGCGCTGTTGGCCAGTGTACCGTCAACACATCCATAAAGTTTTTAAAGGTCTCATGTTGTATAAAGTGAGATTTCCATGTGTTGTTTGATTATAAAGCAGGTCTTGGTTCTATATTAATACTGCAAAAGTATCAGAGTGCTCAGTCCACAGATAAATGCACACAGCCTGTATTCAGAAACCGAGCCTTAAAATGAGCCGACAGGACCTCTTTAACTTTGTGATGTCGCAACAAAGCAGTCACTGCTGTCAGCCATGTTACAAGCCCCGCCCAGCTGGAGCCACCATCCAACCTTGCAGGAAATTTCTCTCTCTCTGAGTGTTTAACTGAAATCTGCTATATTTTTATTTAATTGCTCACAAAACAGTCTCCTCCCTTCTGATTGGCTGACCGACCTGTTGTTACCAGAGCTCCAGAGATAAGCCGGAGAGAGGAGATGTAAAACTACATTGAGATGTTTTTTGGTTCTTAAAACCACAAATATATCTTCTTATATCTCAAATCAAATATAGTGTAAATAAGTGTAAAATATATGGGACCTTTAAAGTTTTTACCGGTCCTGTCAGTCTCTGCTCCGGCCATCATCTGTAGTAATGGGCAGATCATGGGTTATGCTTTTCACAGCCTGGCAACCCAGATGTTGTTCCTATTAGTTACTTATTACTAAACTCTAAACCTTTAATAAATTATTTTTTTTATGAAACCCTTGTATTTATTGGGAAGTGGCACCAGTTTTATTTTTGTCACTTAACCTCCCTGTGTTTCCCCCTTGTTGTACATTTTTTACCACTAAATGCGTACATGGTCCAAACAAATTCTGAATTCACTAGCCTCAGTGTTACAAGCTGATGTGGAACTTCAGTCTATTCTTCACTCCTGTCGTCTTCTGGTCGTTAGCAGCTCAGTCATCATCAGTGTTTGCACTCATGCTTTTGGCCAACTGTCTGATTTCTACAGTCCAACTCCTGCCTCGTTTTCTTTTTTCATTTTCGCAGGTTTGTCAGAACGACAGGAACCAAAGCAGGGAGAGAGATCACAGGGGGACCAAAAGCAAAGAGAGGGAACAAGGCAGAGACGGGGAACTCCCTTTAACTGCGAGCCAGACGGCGGCACGAGACAGAGCCATCCAACAGAAGAGGAGAGAGATAGATGAGGTGGAGAGGTTTCATTACACAAGCACACACACACACCTGGGGAGAAGGGGTAGTTATAAAAAGATAGAGGACGAGGGGAGATAAGAGTAGCTGGGATTAGAGAAAGAGTGGCAGAGGAAAGATCTTAGAAAGTGCTGGGAGACATGAGACAAGGGAAAAAAAAAAAAGATTTGTTTCCTGTCGTCTAAACATTAATATTGAAAAGCTGAGCCTGCGGCATCCTGACTGTCATTGTTGTCTTCACTTTGCCGATGCTGACAAAGTAGGTCTTATTCATTGTTTGACATGATTGATGGTGTTATTCTTTTATTTATGTAATTGAGAAAAAAAAACTTGAAGTGAGGCTGTTTATCTCCGCTCACCTGCATCACAAGAGTCTGCAACACGTGCGTTAATGCTGTCTTCAATGTGACAGACATCACATGAGGCTCTGCTCATCGGCTGTGTTTGTGCGAGAGTGTCTGTGGCGTGTGTTTCCACCCACTTGACAGAAAAGATGGCCTCTTGCTTTTCATATCTCCATGGTTGCAGGGTTATAGAGGCATTGCAAGAAAAAGCAGTCTGGCAACAATTAGCTGATGCAAAAAATGTCCACAAAACTCTGCATACAGGCACACACACAATACTTGTGAACAGTCTGCATGCAATTGTTTCTGCAGATTGTTGATCCATTCAGTGGTAATTGGAAACGCCTGAAAAGGCTTCTCGATTCATTTGTTGCGCTCTCTTCCTTTCCCTCCCTCACCCCCACCTTCTCTTGTTTGTCTGTTCTCCTGCTTCCTGTCATGCCTTGTCCCTTCTCCTGGACATTTGCCCTAAAGCCGTGTGTGTGTGTGTGTGTGTGTGTGTGTGTGTCTTACAGGTGTACTATCAGGAGTGTGAAATGTTTGGCCTCGTGACAAAGATGCTCATAGCAAAGGATCCGTCCCTGGAGCATCCCATCCAGTCCTCGCTGCAGGAGAACCTCAGAGACATCGGCAAGCGCTGTGTGGAAGCCATGGAGAAATTTATAGAGGACTATGACTCCAGAGAGCTGGTGCACTAATCAGACACATGCTGCTGCCTGTCCTTTGAGCATTTTTATTTCAGGTGATTGGATGCTGTGTTTGTGTTTTCATTTGTAATAAGTTTGCACATTCTTGTCTGCTGCCTGGACAAAGTCCCTCTCTGTGCTTTGGCTCATGCTTAGCACTGAGCAACACTGGTGAAAAATGAAAAGGAAACTGTGATTTGAAGGTTTCATACTGATTCTAATTTTGATAACGTGATGATGAAAAATACACTGTTTGTATTGCTTTAAGTGTCCCTATGAAGATGTCTGAAATCTGACTGACGAGCCAAATTTATTATCACTTGCTTTTCAATAATTTAATTTTGTTAACAGCATATTATTCATATATTAAACATCATGTGGCTGAATTTTTTTATATGTGTATATATGATTATATATGATTTATTCAAGGATAAAGGATAAGACATGAAATACATTAATGGGTCAGTAGGTGAGGAGGCCACACATTGTTGTGTTGGGGTTATGAATCTGTAGGGAGAGGTTGTTTGCTAGCATAGCAGATATTGGCTCATCATAGAAATATCGATATCAGTGTAAATGTCAGCTGATAAATAACAAGAACTTGCAGCAGAAGAAATGCCAAAGATATGATTGGGGTTATTTAGTAACACACCAGACTGACAAGTTTATTTTTCAGCAGTAAAATTTGGCATGGATCTAGGTCGCAGTTCTCAAAGGGGCACTCCACTGATTTCTGTGGCTCTGCAGGGTGTTTGTCTCCGTCTGATTATTTGAGCTGTTGATATTTTATTTCATCACTTAGAGAGAAAATAATAAAAAATAAAAAAAAAGGAAGAAGGGGGTGGGGGTGGTCATGTTACCCTATGAACCAGAGAGAAAGAGGAGGGACCAAATAAACACATGGCCGCGGGAGGTACCTGCAGCCCCCCCCCAGTGGCGAGAGGATCATTTTTATAGTGCTGACATGACCAGTGTTACTCTGCGTCAGAAAGACTTATTCTTAACTAAACCCAAACCATATTCTCACTCCTCAACCAATCCAACCAACAAAGGCAATGATCACGAGCTAATCAGAGGCAGAGTAGGGCGGGACATATCAACTCTATGGTAGAATTTACCTTTGTGTCAGAGACGGAGGCCGGCCCCCGAGGGCACCGCAAACAGCGGGGGTCTGCTGCTCCCAGGTGTCAGGCTGGGACTGACTTGGCGGCCTGTGAGGAGGCTTTCCAGCCATCAAGCTTCAAATTTCCTGCCAGACGTTTTGGAAAAGCAACTTTAAGCCGCACATTTACACCAGCCTGGTTTGCTAAATGAAAGTGCCTTCATTACGTGGCGGGGAGTGATCAGATTGTGTGTTTTGCTTGCATGAAGTGGGAAAAGAACGGATTGATGAAGACAGTATCAGGGCTGACAATCCCTTTGTGAAGGGCGGCTTTTCAAAATACCATAAAGCAATCGAAAAAAGAGCACGAGAGATCTGAGTTAAAACACTGTCCCGATACAAAGGCATGCTGCTTTACGTGATGTGCCGATCAACGCTGGGAACAAGCAAACGTTTTGGAAATACTGTTCAGATCCATCACATTCCTGGGAAGCATGGGGATCACCATCAGGGGTCACACTACACGTGGTGCAATACTCGTCTGGGCCCGCCCATCTCCGTGGCCTCATCTGAGCGGACCTTCTCCACCTTGCCTATTTGAAAACATGGCTAAGCAACACCATGGCCCAGGAGAGACCGACTCATCTCTCCTTGATGCATGTCCACAGTGACATTTTGAACTCATTGGACATCCATGCCCCGTCCATACCCAACGCCCGAGCGCAAGGCCACCTTTGGATTATTGTAACTACTGGAGCAAATTGTCTGCAGCTCAAGGTAAGATATTTGGTTTATAAACAAGCTGCCGCCGAGCAGTTAAATAGTCTGTTGTCAATACATTTTAACATCAGTAGGATATACATGTGCTGAAAAAATGTGCATGTTTAGATATGTTCTTGTGTGCTGTGCGCAATGAGCTTTTGGACTTGTGTATTGCTGAGCCATGGCATTATTGTGTTTCTGTGTTTTATAGACGTTGTTGTTGTTGTTGTCGTCATTTTGGTCTGCGTTGTAGTTGCACTGTTGTAGGCCTGTGTTGTATTTGTATGGAGAGACACCGAATATGAATTTTTACAAAATGAGCTCCAACATGTATTTGCAAAGATGCTCCTCCCACTACAGCACCCCCAACTTAAAACATCTTCCCGTGGCCCTGGTGTGTCCCGTTTCGCTGCCTCTCTCCCACGTTGACTCCAGAAGATCATTTTATTTACAGCCATGAAAAGCAGCAGGATAAGAAACTGAACTAAATGACGTGTTATGTCAGTCTGTCGATATCCTCCGCTCTTAAATCACAGCAGCTCATACACACAACAAGCAGCTTCATTACAATCAGCTGATCGGAGTGTGTGTGTGTGTGTGTGTGTGTGTGTGTGTGTGTGTGTCTGCATAAAAATATTTGTGCTTATAGGAAGACACAAATATCAAATGATATATCATTAACAGTTTTTTTCTGTTATCGATGTCAGTAACAGTCCAGTAAAGACAATAAAAGTCTGTCTTGAGACATAATAATACCACTCTGACCACTGGTCAGTCCACCACTTTGGTCCAAACTGAATTAGCTCAACAACTATTGGATGGATTGTCGTGATATTGGTACAGATATCCATAGTTCCCAGAAGATGAAACCTACTGATGTTGGCAGTTCCTTTATGATTCCTGCAGCTTCAGCACTTGGTCAAAATTTGATCTGGTTTCTGGTATCTAAGTACCTGCCAAACTCATAACATTTTTTAGCACTTTTTTGCACCTTTGAGCAGCTCCTCCATTTCTCCAGTGCATTGATGACAGTATAGACCTTTTCCACAGTAGATATTTTGGCATGTCATGTCAGGAAAAGTTGAAACTGAGATCAAACTAAAAACTTGTATGTGCTGGCTCTCTGGCATTGACTTACTGGGAGGCTTGATCGAATTGAGCCATCGTTAACAAAATTTGTCTCCCCAGTGCTTTTCTAGCTATGACTTCTCAAAATGTCTGCTTTATTCCGTCCCTTTCCAAGTGTGAACATACAACATAGTCACAACCTGTAACCTGTGTAAGCTGATCAGATCAGAGGTCAGTCATGACCAACCAGAGAACCCAATACAACTTATGGATACAACTTCCTGGTTGTTCATTGAAGTACACTTTATTTTCAGTATGAGACAACAACAACAAATTAACATGCAAGTCTCCCTATCTCTACATCATGTTATACAAATAATGATTCTTTAGTTACAAAATATATAAATATTTAAGACCATATGTACAGAACATTTACAGTACTACATCCATTACTTTATTAAGTTTATTACTATATATACATTTAACAGGTATTATTCTTTAATATTATTATAATTATTATTTGCATTATTATTGTTATTGTTAGCATTATATTTATTATTACTACTCTTAATCATCTATAGGTAACTCTCAAAAAACAAAGCATGTTGCAGAAGAGAAAACGGGACCATACCTGACGTTACTGTGCCTGAATGATCAAGGAGCAGAGGCTGTCCGGCGCTCTGTCCTTGGTAAAGCATGAGAGCTGGCTATGTAGAGCACAAGGTTCAACAGACTATTTGTACAAAGTGATAACAGGGCTAGCGAGCCAACACTATATTCCAGCAGCATTTGGATTCCACTGAGGTAAACAATGACATAGCTTGGAATCTAGCACGTAGCTTTCACTATCCCAACACGATTTCTGGTTTGTCCACATAGAATAAGTTTTACTGCTCAGGGCTTGGGTCACTGAGCTGCGACATGAACAGTCAGATCACTGCAGTTTGACCAGTGTGAACTTCCCTTTTCAAACTGCAAAGGAATTGTTCAATCCCTCTGTAACATGGACACACGCACAGACACGCACACACATCATGTTATTTACCCTGACCACAGTATATTTAGCGATCAGATTCATCAGTGCTTCCTGGTACCGTCAGCGGAGTCGATCTCCATCATTGTAAACATTTCTGTTGTGTAAGCCAGCCAGTACTTCCTCTTATGATTAGATCATTCTGTGTAGGTGTGCACAAACACTACGTGGTGTAGAGTTGTGTAAGTTCACAAGCACAAAAAATAGGCCTTTTTCGCTCTTCACCCCCAACACACACACACACACACACACACACACACACACAAATTCATACACAAACACTCTTCGCTCTCACTCTCACTGTCAACTGTCTCACTCTCACCTTCCCACTCCCTTTGTTCCTCCTCTCTGTTGCTTTAACTGTCTCCTTACCTCTCTCTCTGTCATCTCTTTCACTCTCCTGCTCATCCCTCACCATCTCTTTTCTCTATATTTAGGAAATTATGCAGTTTTTGCTCTTCCTCCTCTGGCGAGTGTGCAGCTGGCCATGAATCGGTCCATGCAGAGGTCCGTGATGGCCGCCCATCCCTGAAGGGCTGTAGCGATGGCGCAGCTCCTCGTTGTTGATGTAGCACAGCTGCACAGGTCGAGGGATTGGTTCACCCAGGAAATAACCTTCATCTGCCTCTGACTCGGAGGAAGAGGAGCAGCTGGAGCACCAGGGGTCAGCAGCCTCCATGTACCCATCGCCCCAGCATGGCCCACCCAGCCCCACGGGTTGCCAGCCAGCATTCTGAAGGGTGAGATCAGAGGTGGTGCGGGGGCAGGGTCGGTGGGGCTGCTGCCTACACCCGCCTGGCTCCAGACCAAACAACTCCCGGGCAGCATGGCCGGAGGGGAAGCGATCGTAATCCTCCTGAACGCGGCGGTAGGGCAGCTCCACCATTTGAGCGGGCCGGTCTGCCACCAAGTGCAGGGCGTTATCTGAGCGGGAACGACGAGAGCGTTTGTGGTGGCGGCCACTGCGGTGCTGCCCGTTACCGTGGTTTCCACGATGGTGTTTGCGGCGTCTTGGTTGTACCTGCTGTTGCTGTGACACAGGTTCCTGCCCGTTGATGCGTCGGCGGGGCATTCTGTCACTCATGGGAGCCATTCGCAGGTTTCCACTGCTGCCCATTACCCCGACACGACCTTTGCCATCAAAACCAAGCGGCTGCGGGACATCCCAGTACTGCAGTGGGTAGCCCACTCTGAGTGGAGTGTACATGTTATTGTTGTAGGGACGAGAAGAGGACAGAGACTCTGTGCTGTGGAACTGGACAGAGGAGCTGAGGGTGCCCATGTTGCTCTTCTCAGACACATTCACACCTGAGTCCTTACTCAGGTCGGGCATGGAGAACCTAGACAAATGCTCCTGACGCTTACTGACCCCATCCAGAGAGTTTCCTGTCAAAACCACAAATCTCATGTCACA